TCCCAGGCTTCAAATGTTTCCTCAAACAGTTGTGCAAATACCATGTCTGGCACCCATATACCTTTCATTTTTTTTTTAGTGGTGGCTTGAATATTTAAAACGGTTGGGGAGCTGAAAAGAATCTAACTCTGACATAGGTAAATATATGCCACTTGTCTCATACCCTGTGGCTTAGTGGTAATGTCTGAGAACCCACGGTGTTGTCCAAAGCACCTGATTCACACCAGCCTGGTGTGAAAGAAGGGAGACCTGAGAAGCAACACTTTCCAGGAGCAGGTCCCCCTCTGATGGTCATTCATTAGTACTACAAAAAAAAACAGAATGCACTTGTGCATCGTAAGAGCTCACAAACAAGAAATTCCTCTTTGTAGATATGCTGGGGTTTTTTGTTTGTTTGTTTGTTTTGTTTTTGTTTTTTTGTTTTGTTTTTATGCCTCCCCATTGCAACCACATCTATTTTCTACAGAGACACTGGTTGCAGTGGGGTGGTTACTAGATTAAGTCTCTTATGATACCCATTTAGTTATAATATTTAAAAAAAGTCTTTCTGCAGGGCCAACTGGTGGTGTAATGGTTATGGGGCTGGACTCCCACATGGCCAACTGTGGTTTGAGTCCTGGACTCAGTGGCTTGAAACTCATGCTGAGAGCATGTGTGCGTGTGCCCAAAATCCCAAAGGAAAATGGAGGAGAAGGGATTGCAGCATGGTCATCCGCCCTGGGGAGGTGATTTCTCACTTTCTCTCTCCATTTCTCTGTGTCTCTGACAAGTGCACATATGCCATAGCAAAAATCCCTCTTAAAAAAAGTATTTCTGCATTTTATAAACTGGATAGGAATATACAAAGGGACTTTATAAAGGTTATATTTAAAAATGGAATTAAAGTATGTTTATTTTGTGTGCAAAAAATTCTTGAAGTCCATGCATAGTTCTCCAAGATACACATTTCCATGAACTTTTTTTTTTTTTTTATAGTTTTTTGCTATAGGGCGCACATTCTCGCCAGAAAGACAGAGAGACAGAAAGTAAGAAATTACCGCCCCCCCCTCCCAGGGGGGATGGCTACACCGCAATCCCTTCCCCTCCATTCTCCTCTTGGGATCTTGGGCACGCACATACACACCCAGCGGGACTTTAAGCTACCAGATTTGGGACTCAAACCGTGGTCGACTACATGGGAGTCCAATGACGTAGTCATTATGCCATTTGCTTTTCCCTCCATGAACTTTTTGAAAAGCCTGCATATCATCAATATAACCCAAGCCCTTCTTTTCTCTAATAAGAAAAAAAACCTCCCAAAAGAAAATCATGCCCAAAGTAAATGTTTTCTTTCATCCTCTCATTTATTCATTCTTTTGGTGTGACTCTAATGTGATTCTCAACTCAAATGACTATACATTTGAATTTCCTGAGCAGCCTTTAATAATATGATGCCTGTCCCAGCCTTCATGACTCAGTCTCATACCAGTGCTGGAAGCCATGTGCTAATCCCTGTTCGAATCCCTGACCTGGTGAGCCTGAAACATGTCGGGTGAGCGAACACATTCTCAGGAGCCCAGCAAGGACTGCAGCATGACCAGGCATCATGGGGAGTATTTTTGTCTCTCTCTTTCATACATGTGCACACGTGCCCTATCATGAACACCAAAAAAGATGAAAATACAATGCTCAGGCTTTACTTCTGAACAATCTTGACTTTGTCTTGGTCTGGGAACTGGCACTCTTTAAGTTCCTGAAGAGATTGTAATGTTCTACCAGGGTTGGAAACTACTAAACTACTATTTCTGAGCACATACTTTGCACTGGTCATGTTTTCATACTAAGGATTCAGAGATACAACTCTGCTGTAATGCCTTCTGCCGCCACTGTTTGTAGGCCACACATACTGTCTCCTCCGTCTTGAGCATTTCACTTGTTTGTTGCTTAACTAACTCCTTATCCTTTGCAGTCTCAGATTAAATATCAGTTATTCAATGCCATCACTGCCCTTCTACCTAAATTAAGCATCCTATGATTTGCCCTGATAGAGTCTCTGCTCTTTTCCTCCCCACTTACCCTCGTTGAAATTATAAGTCTTCCTCCATCTGGGAACCCCCACAACTGAAACTCAGAACCAAATAGGTTTTGGCAGTTAAGAAGAAGAGGTAAGATTTACTTAAAGAGAATAAAATTGAAATTTCGGGGCCCTGTGGCAGGCTAGATAACTGCCCCTCCAAGATGTCCATGTCCTAATCTCTAGAACCTATGAATATTGACCTTGCTTGGTAAAAAGGATTTTGCAGTTGTGATTTAGTGAAAGATCTTGTGATGGGAAGGTTATTCTGGATTATCCACGTGTGCCCAATGTGAGTACAAGAGTCTTTATATGGAAACAGGAGGGTCAAGGTTAGAGAAGATGCAGAATGAAGCAGAGGTTAGATTGAAGAAAACGTGCTACACCACTGGCTTTGATGGTGGAGGAAGGGGCCAGCTCCAGGAAATGGAGATCCCCTGTAGAAGTTTGGGAAGGCAAAAGCAGACCCTGCCCAGACCTCCATAAGGAACGCAGCACTGCCTATACTTTGATTTTAGCCCAGTGAAAATGATTTTGGACATCCAACCTCATGAATTATAAGATAATTCATTAATGTTTTTTTTTTAATTTATTTTTCCAGGTTTTTGATTTAGGGCATGTGTGCTTGCTAGAGAGAGCAGAGACGGTGAGAAAGAAAATGAGAAATCACCCCAAGGGGAAATGGCTATGCTGCAATTCCTTCTTATCCATTCTCCTGCTGGGATCTTGGGCATGCGCACACGCACACATGGCCAGGTGTGATTTTTCAGGCCTCCAGGTCTGGGACTCAAACCATGGTCAGCCATGTGGGGGGTCCAGCAACATAATTGCTACACCATCTTCTGGCCCCATTAGTGTTGTTTTAAGTCATTAAGTTTCTGAAATTTGTTATAACAACAATAATAATAGCTCTCCCTTGTATAGTCCCCTTCTAAGTTTTCAGGAGGGACTGGAAATGTGTTCAGTTTTTGTAAAGCTTACAAAATTACAATGTTTAAAGATAATTTATTAAGACTGCCCTCTCTTTTCACTCAGACTTTCCAAGGCACTCTTTTCTGGCTGAGTAGCACTGGAGTGGCTACAGGCATTTTGGAACTTTGGCTAGTCAGAAATGTAGCTGGGATACTTTGATTTGCATTTATAGGAATGTATTCATGTGGTTCATGGCCACTTCCATATAGCCTTAAGTAATTGCTGGAGTGTAGGAATGACTTCTATGAATGCTGCTAGTACCACTGATCAAAGTCCCCAGCCATAGTGACACATGGAAATTGTAAAATATGAACAGTATGCAGTTTTTTCTCTTAATCTCATGGGAGTAAATCCCTAGATTTTTTCCGATTGAACAAAAGCAGTAGTAATTCATGAAGAAGAAGAGATAAATTTGAATAGAAGTAATGAATAGGCTACACTGCTGCTCTGATGGTTTGATAAACCAAATAAATGAAGAAGAGAGATTAAATGAACACATCGGAAGAAGATTTAAATTCTTGAGTATTTGACACAATGTATGGACATCTGTGAAGATGATAAACTCAATACTTGACCATAAGAAGGACATCCATGGCAAACCAGTTACAACTGTCATCAGAGAGTAATATTTATGATTAGTCATTCCATAACAAAACGTAAAATTACCTGAAATCCTCTATTTCTTATATGAACAAAATTTGATAAGAGATTTGACAACAATCCTAAATGTGACATCACCACAAACAAATTGTTGGACAGAGTAGATGATCCTTGAATGGATGGACATGAGAAAATCTAGAGTGTAACTTGGTTGGGTGAGTGGCATCAAAATGTAGAGGGGGAGGGAACCAGCAGTTAGCGTAATGGCTATGTCGCTGGACTCCCACGTAGTCAACCGCGGTTCGTGTCCCGGACCCGGTGGCTTAAAACTCACGCCGGGCGCGTGTGCGTGCGTGCCCAAGATCCCGAGAGGAGAATGGAGGAGAAGGGATTGCAGCGTGACCATCCCCCCTGGGGGGTGATTTCTCGCTTTCTGTCTCTGTGTCTCTCTCTGTCTGTCTGGCGAGCGTACGCGCCCTATAGTGAAAATCTCTCAAAAAAAACAAAAAAAAAGTAGAGGGGGAATGGTGGCTGTTCATGGAAGGTCATCCTTGCTGTAGGGCTAGAAATGACAAACTAGAAAAAAACATATATGGTAGTTTTGCATGACAGTTTTTCTGGTAACTGAACTTCCCACCACATTTTTAGTGTTCTCTGTACACAAGTTGCAGTAAGTTAAGGAATCCTGCGAAGTGGGATGTAAATATACTGTCTCTGAAAAAAGTAAAACTTGGGGTCATATTTTAGAGTTAGAGCAGTTAGTTATTCGTTCCAACTACTAATATGTCAATCTGAGTTTTAGCAGATCTCTCCAAGGGCCAGCAACTTTTTCTTTCTAGAGGCATGTGTGTTCCAGAGAGAGAGGGAAAGGAGAAAGCACTCCCCACCACTACCATGGCGAGTGGTCATGCCACAACCTTTTTCCATCTCTCTCTCCTGTTGGGATTTTCGGGCTCCCACGGCCCAGGTGTGCTTCTCAATCCATGGGGTCTTCCACTCAAACCTGGTGGTTAGGTGGGTTCCAACTGCTCATAGCAGCTGACTCTTAGAACCACCCTTGACTTGGACTTCCTCCATTCAGAGGAGAGGTTGGATGCGTGTTCAGAAAAGGACGTGAAAGTCAAAGTACTCGCATATGGTCGAAACCGCTTTAAGTGGTCTTTCTCTTCGCCCGAAGCCACCGCTTTTGGTACTTTCGGTAATCAGAACAACTTCAACCTAATTTCGGCCTCAGAGCTGACCTAGCCGCCGT